GATGATAAATCCACACTTTGTTAACAGACAAACAAGAAAACAAACACGCTCGATGTATGTTTTCAGAATTTTAAGAGGGAACTCGTTATGGCGATGGCGATGGATTATATTTTTATATTACTTTTGCGTTGATCAAACGAAAATAATTTTTATGTTATGCTTTGGTACGAAGCGCGATTTTTTTGGAAGGTAGTATGTAATGTTTTTTTGTAATTTGTAGAATTAATACATACAAAGGATTTAATAAGTTGATAATATTTTAAAAGCAAATCTAAAGTGTACTACGAATTACAACATAATACAGTTAATTACATATTAGATTAGATGGGTTTCATTAGAAATGAGTTAGTGGGTATTAATCAGAATTCAGAGTTTTAAATTAGATTTATTGCAGAAATGTCAAAAAAATTTATATTATTTCTTTTTTGTACTGATTACAGAAAACTATTGCATCATTGGACTTGTAGTTTTCGGATTTCTTCTGCATCATGAAGTGTTTGATAAAACATTGTCTGTATTATTAAAATTAACAGAAATCTTAATTTAATATTGAACGACTGTTTAAACTATATTGCAATGATCTTAACTAAGTTTTGGGCATGAATATAAAAACTAATATATTCCTATAATTTTGATAAATCATTTGAAATGAAAAGTTAAAATTGAAATACGATATAACCTAACACTTAATAATTTTCAATTTTCCCATACAATTTTTTATAGTATTAATGTTAAATATTTCAATCATTGTTGCTTTATTATAATATAATATATGAAGTAAATGCAATGTTTATATGTATTACTTGTTATTTCAATTTTTTACATATCTTAACTTAGTTAAATTATTGCTAATTACTTTATTTGCTATTTTTTGTAATAATTAGGGGCAAACATGAAAAATATTAAAGGTATATTTAAAATTATTTTAACTTATCATAAAACCTTTATCTTTTATAAGCCTTTTTCTTAAATATATTTTCGTACTTTATTGTTACTGTAATGTACATGATATTACGTTTTTATAGCTAATTATAGTTAAAAGTCAATTGTGCGGTTACTCTATTTTTTTTAAGTTCCATTTTTAACTTACCGTAGGGCAAGTTATAGTAATCGCAAAAAATCGAAAATGAAAATGTTTATATATCTTTACGTTTCAAAGGTTTCTGAATATTTTGGCATACTTTAGAAAAAATTGATGTATGTGTGTGTGTATGTGTTAGTCTCTACGGAAAGTTAATAACTTGCCTATTATAATAATGCTTGATTCTATGATAAACAGAATATATAAATACAAAAAATAATTAATATGATAATAAAGTTAAAATTAATTAAAAGCTTTTCAAATTATTCACTTCTATTCTTGATTTTTCTCAGGGAATCCATTACCTCAAATATAAGCTGCTTGTGAACTTTAATACATTGTTGCTGTTATGAAAGATGTTTTAAATTATTCACCACGCTTCGAGCTGTTCAAACAAAATCGATTGGACGGAATGAAGTAATGTATTTGAATTCTGAATTAAAAAGTTCAGGACTCTTTTATTTAATAAAACTGAATGCGTTCCAAGCCAAGACAAAGACTAAGGAAGTTTTAATAATGCATATCCATGGCTTCTGAAAATCCTACTCGCGATACGAAAAGAGACGTGTCTTATTAACTTTCAGAATTGCTAATCTTATTAACTTTCAAAAATTGCTAATTTTATGTTTTCTCGACGTTTCAAGACATTTTTGAATCGAATGAGACCAAATTTGGAAAACTATGTGTGTGTGTGTATGTGAACAGATTTTTTTCGTAAATCGACGTTTTCTCAAAAACGACTGGACCGATTTCAAGCTATTAGATGTATCTCGATGAAGACTATTGTTTCTCAGTTTTGTGCGAAGCCGTTTCTTTGTGAATAGTAGAAAAGTGAAAAAAAATTGTCAACATTTTAGCCCGCAATTCTGAATCGATTTTGAACATTCAAAAACTGTTCGAAAGATATTAGTTCGGAAAGATACTGATAAGTTTTTTTCGACGATTTTTACGATTTTTTTTGACTGTAGATACCACTGTCTTATAAATCATACTAAAATACTACAGCCCTACGACAACTGGTTTAGCTTTAAAAATTATTCAAAGTTTGCAAAAATTAGTATGGTTTTTTGGCATTTGTCAAAACGCCAAACAATTTCAGAAATTTAAAAACCACTTGATGTATCTCGATGGGGATTATCGTTTCTCAGTTTTGTGCGATGATCGATCGAGACGTTTCTTTGTAATTTGAAAAAAAGTGTTAAACTTTTCGTCCACAGTTAAGCTCATACTACCGAATCGATTTTAAAAAATCAAAAACTGTTTGAAAGATATTAGTTGGGAATGATACTGATTAGTTTTAGGTGAAAATCTACCGAGCCGTTTTTTTGTAATTAACTGTTGAAAAAAAATTTAAGTCGATTTTCATGGAACTTTTTTTGGCGATATATATCATGGTCTTATAGAATTTACTGAAATATTACGGTCTTAGAACATGTAGTTTCATTTTAAAAATTCATCAAAGTTTGAGAAAATGAGTAGTTTTTTTGACATTTGTTAAAATTAAAATTAGAGGATTTACTTGGTATAACTATAGAGTACTTGGTCTTAATGAACATACTAAACAACTAAAGTCCTACAAAAAACTGGCTCAATTATAAAAATTATTGATTTTTGAAAATTTGCTTTTAGAAAATACTCCTAGTCTAAGTGTTCGTTCGTTTTCAATTGTGTAATAAATCTACACGGAATACTTTTAGTGACTCATAAATTAATTTATTTTTTATTGATTAAGTTGATTATTTGAACATCGGGAAGTTCATGTAACTTGCCTCAAGCCAAAATACCAAACCAACTAGTTTAAATATTTTCTAAAAAATTCTATGCCTTTGATAGATGACCTAAAAATGGAACATAAATTGTTTCCAAAGTATCGAAAATAAATTATAAATTTATATATTTTTAGAAATCATACTTTTTGTTTTCTGCACAACATTAATGAATTACAAATTCAATCATGAATGATCAACACTAATTCAGCAATAATATATATATATATATATATATATATATATATAAATGTTTTATTTTAAGCTTCTATTATTTTTGTTCAGAGGCCTATATTTTCGACGGAAAATTTAGGTTGATACACCGATCTTGAGAATGACTAAGGTACACAAATAAATCAAATAATATCAAAGCAAACGTTGAGCTCCGCTGTTCGATGGATGGAAGTCTGCCCTAGATTATGTCGAACGTAATAATGAGCCAATAAAATTCCAGTTATAAATGATGAACAAACAGTACAAAGGAGAAAAGAATAAGAAAATGTCGTGTAATTCATAATTCGGTTGATTCAGTTGACGATGGTAGATAATTTCTTCATATAAAATAGATTCGAGTCGAAATTAGTTGTCAATTACTTTCTTTCATAGCAGTTATACAATTAGCCTTTTTAAGGTTTAACTAAGTAACTGAGTTATTTTGAATTTTATTGTTAGTACACCTAACTATGATATTTATTTTGAAACATATCTAGTTTTGCTTGGTACAATTTGCCTATGCAATTTCTAATTTTTAGATCATAATGAATAATGAATAATTTAGTTTGCAAAAAAGTAAGAGATGGTAATAATTAACTTCCTGAAGGACAAGTTCATGTTTTCATAAAAAAATCCTATTCGCTAATTATGTTTTCTTGGCGTTTTAAGCCATTCTGAATCCAATGAGACCAAATTTGGAAAAAATATGTGTGTGTGAACAGATTTTTTGGCGTAAATCGACGT